TTTTTTTTTTGGGTTAAGCTTAAGGACTAAGGAGTGTGAACTTTGAAGCTTAATACTCTTTTTCCTATGTTTTTAGGTAGATCTTGCAATCTCAATCCGTAGAGATGAATTATAAAGCCGTGGATTCAAGCAATCCTAATTCATAATCATGTGCAACTCCAAGTAACACTCAAGATGGTGGCAAAGGAAAGAAGAGGAAATCAATGAAGCCAAGATCGATGGTGTGGGATCATTTCACAAAGTTTGAAGATGAAAAGAAAAACATAAAGGCTAAATGTAACTATTGTGATAAGGTATTTGCTTGTGATCCTTCAAAAGATGGGATAACTTCACTTAGGTCTCATGTTTTGACTTGCAAAAAAAAAACCCTTTTAGTTGTATTGACTCTACCCAAACTCAATTAGACCTAAGAAAGCTTGAAGTGGGAGAAAACAATCTTACCACATGGAAGTTTGATTAAAATGTTAGTATAAAAGATTTAACTAAAATGATAATTCTAGATGAGCTTCCATTTAAGCATATAGAGGGTAGGGGATTCAAAAAGTTTTTATCTAATTTGCAACCTAGATTCAAGCTTCCATCTCGTTTTACAATTTCAAGAGATTGCTATCAAATTTATTTAGATGAGAAAATAAAGTTGAAAAATTTTAAAACAAAATAGTCAAAGAATTAGCCTTACTACGAACACATGGACATCTATTCAAAGAATCAATTACATGTGTTTAACGACTCATTTTATTGATAATGATTGAAAGTTGCATAAAAAGATCTTGCATTTTTATTCGATTGATAGTCATAAAGGAGTAGATTTAGGTATTGCCATTGAGAAATGCTTGATTGATTGGGGAATTGAGAAGGTTTTTAGTGTTACGGTTAATAATGCGAGTTCGAATGATGTGATAATTAGGCACTTAAAAGATGTGATTAAGAATTGGGGTTATAGTATCTTAGATGGTGAATTCATTTATATGAGGTGTATGGCACATACTTTGAATCTAGTTATTGTTGATGGATTAAAACATTTTAATCCTTCAATCGTTCGTATTTGATCGACCGTTAGGTTTGTGAGGCAATCTCCAGCTAAGTTGAAAAGATTTAAGGAATGCATTCAACTCGAGAAAATTGATTTTAGGAGTTTGTTACAACTAGATGTTGCTACTAGGTGGAATTCAACATACTTGATGTTAAAGTCGACTCTAAAGTTTGAGAGAGCTTTTAAGAGATATGAGCAAATTGATCCTTTATATACGAGTGAATTTGATATAGATCATGGTCATAATGTTGTTGGGCCACCTAATTTTGATGATTGGAAGTCTTGTAAGAAGTTGGTGGGCATGTTGAAAATTTTTTACAATCTCACTTTGCGTATTTCGGGTTCTTTGTATATGACTTCAAATATTTATTTTGAAGAGATTTATGCTCTCGAACATGTTTTGAAAAATTGGCAACGAAGTGGGGATTTAGATGATTTTACGTAGGCCAATAAAATGAAAGAAAAGTTTGAGAAGTATTGGAGGATATTAAGAAAATGAATAAATTGATTTATATTGCGACAATAGTTGATCCTAGGCATAAACTTGTATTTATTGAATTTTCAATCAATGAATTGTATGGTGATTTGGAGGGTCAAAGAATGTCAAATATTATCAAGGAATCTATATGTGCTATGTATGATTTCTATTGTCGTTCGTCAACATCTCAATGTGAAATTGACCAAGGTAGTGGGAGTCGGGAAATAGATGTGGGTTGTGCAAATGAAGAAATGATTGATGAAGAAGAAATTAGAATAAAAAGAGAGATAATGATGCGTTTTGAAAAATACAAGTGTGATATCGGAGGTGGAGGAAATAAAACGGAGTTGGATAAATATCTTAGTGAAGGTGCTGAAAATAACGGTGCTGATTTTAATATTTTAGAATGGTGGAAAATCAATTCTCCTCGGTTTTCCATCCTTTCACAAATGGGTAGGGATATATTAGCGGTTCATGTTTCTACTTGTTTTCTCGTAATCGACATTTAGCACTTGGAGGAAGGGTTATTGACTACTTTAGGAGTTCTTTGACTCTTACCTTAGTGGAATCTCTTATATGTGCTCAAGATTGGATTAAAAATTCATCGACACCAATTATTATTGAAGAAAATTTACAAGATGTTGAGAAAATGCAAAATGGTAATTTCTATAACTCTTACCTTTTCATTTGTTATTTCTTTCCTTTATATTAATATTAAAAGTTTAATTTTTTTATCTTATAATTTTCGAGTTACCACTTGCACTACCTATATTTCAAATGGTTAAATCTTGATGGGTTGATGACTTGATGGTGTTTTGACGTGATGAATGGTATGTGTAAGTTACTAAGTTTCTACTTTCTAAGTTTGATTTTTTATTTCGTTGTTTGTGCAAGTTTAGTCGGTAAGTGAGAATTGTAAATTTTCATTTTCATTGAATTAGAGAAGAGAACCATAGTAGGTAGTAACTTATTGCCTCGGTGCCTCGTGCCCATCGGCGTAGGCCACGCCATCCGCCGCAGTAAGCCTACCGGCGGCTGGCCGATGGGCGTAGCTTCGCCTTGGTGTCTCCCACCTATCGACAGTGGGCGTAGGCTCACCGCCTTTGATTTTCGTAGCATGTTAATATCCTCTTTCAGGAGTATTGAGTGTTTGTTAGAATTTCATTCTATTGCGGATCCCGAAGGAGTTAAGCTATTGTAAATGCACGTAAATCATTTGTTTTAGGACGAGAAGAGAGCTTGTGTCTCGTCCTCTTTGTTGAGAAATGAGAACGGACATTCTATCATGCTTTTTTTATTTAATGTCGATTGCATTGTATCCGGATCTTTGTTTCATCAATAATTATTTTGCATGACTTATTTCCTTTTTCGATATACGAATGTTAAACATGTTGAGGTATTTAAATTTGACTTTAATTGTGAATATTTTTTTTTTTTTGTGTTAAATCCTTTTTAGAAAAGAAAGTGGTTACTTGTTAGCTCGGCATTGTTAATTACTCAGCTTAGGCAAAGAAAAAATAAATGAAAGTTTTGGGAGAAGCTGTCTAAAGTTTGAAATGGAGAAGTAATGAAAAAGTTCGATTAAATCGAATTATTTCAAAACCGAACCAAAATAATTTGGTTACAAACCGAATTAACTAAATTAATTTTGGTTCGGTTTCGATTTTTATTTTTCCTACTTTGGTTAACCAAAAATCGAATCGAATTATGCTTAACCAAACCGTTTAACCGAATGCTCACTCTTACTTGTTGGGTGTGTGTAGGGGAGAACTATGGCTTTACTATAAAAATACTAATAAATCAAACTCTTTCTATCCTAAAGTAATAGTCTCTATTTTTATTTATATGTATTCAAAATGTTTGTTTAGTCAAAATTTTAAGTGATATATCCTTAATTAAAATTCGTTTTATAAAAGATTATTCAAATAGAATATTTTTAAAAATATATTTTTGAAAAGTATGAATAAAATATGCTGATTTGACATAAAAATTAATAATTTTTTAATTCACGTGAAAAGTCAAAAGGTACAATCTCTTGAGTACGTAGGTATAAATTATAAATATATAACGGATGTGGCATGAACTATATATATACTTTCTGTCTTTAAAAAATCGTCCCCTTTGACTTTTACACAATTTTTAGATAATTTTAAAAAATAATTCATTTTTATTTCTTATTAGTATTATTTTTGTTTATATTTTTTAAAATATCATTTTTATTAAAAAAATTATTTATCATATTTAATCTGGCATTATATAAAACTAATATTAATTTAAGGAAAAAATCTATCTAAAATGGTAGGGAAAAAAAGCTATTAAGTTAATTAACAATCAAATTTAAAACAATTATGAAAATATAAAATACTAATGAAAATATTTGACTCCTAAAATTTCGACTCACAATAAAATTCTTACAAAATAAATATTGTAACAAAAAAATTTTCTTTGAAATTTTTATGTTAAAAGTATATATATGTATAAAGAAAAATATAATGAATATTAAATTTTTTTTAGTGAGGAACAAAAATAGAAAAAAGAATTGACTTTTTATTTATTTATTTATCAATTAGGGGTATTTTAGAAAATTATATTATTTAAAATTTTGATCAGAAAAACATTTTAAAAGTAATGTAAATAAAAAGAATACTAATAAATCATACTTTTTTTGTCCTAAAGAGATCGTCCGTATTTTTATTTATGTGTGTTTCAAAATACTTGCTTAAAACTTTAGGTGATGTATTTTCTTAAAATACTCCTAATTAAAGTTTATTTTATAAAAAAATATTCTCACAATTTTTACCTAATTTAAAAAAATTATTAATTATTATTTCACATTAATATTTTTTGTATATACTTTTCTAAAATACCTTCTTCTTTTTATATAATTGTTATTTGTCAAATTTAAACTTACGTTACTCAGTGAAAAGAACAAGAAGTCTATGGACGAGGGAACGCAGCCCCTGAAGCCACATCATCAAGAAGAAGATTACGCAGACCTTCAGGAGGAGAATTAAGATAATCAGATCAACCTTATCTCCAAGATAGTCAGCACAGAAAACAAAGGATAAATTTGAATTATATATGGCAAGTTTGGTTCATATTTTTTCTCTACGCATACCTGCTAATTAATTATATTAATTATATACGGTAAGTTATCTCATTTTTTCCATCACACAAAACATTTTTGTCTCAATAATTTTTGGGGTTTTCAATTTGTGTTCGAAAACAAAAATCGAGCTGTCAATGCCGTCTTTTTAAGAAAGGCCTTGCCCACGTATTCCTTGAAACGTCACTAAACGCGTCCATGACAGTCGTCACCAAATGGGCCAAATAAGTTCGTCACCTCAAACGTTAAGATTTGTGTAAAAGCGTTGTTTATAAACCCTTCTCAACACATCCCACGTATTAACAAAATCCCACACTCAATTTCAGCAACAAAAATCCATCCAACTCACTCGCTTTTATTTTCATACAATTCCAGTAATTAAGATGGGAGTCATGGGAGAACAGCCTCACATCCTTCTCGTCACATTCCCTGCTCAAGGTCACATAAATCCAGCCCTTCAATTTGCCAAACGTTTAGTAGCCATCGGTGCACATGTCACCTTTGCTACAAGCATCGGTGCCGCCCGTCGGATGTCCAAAACCGGAACTTATCCTAAAGGCTTGTCTTTTGCTTCCTTTGATGATGGTTCCGAACATGGGTTCAGACCCAGTGATGATATCGACCACTACTTCACCGAGCTCAGGCTTGTTGGCTCAAAATCTCTGGCTGAACTTATTGCGGCGAGTTCCCAAAACGAGCGACCTTTTACGTGCGTTGTTTACTCCAATCTTATACCTTGGGTGGCAAAGGTGGCACGGGGACTTCACCTTCCTTCAACACTTCTTTGGAACCAATCTCCTGCCCTTTTAGACATCTTCTACTATTACTTCAATAGCTATGGTGATACCATTAAGGAGAATTTCGACGATCCCTCCTTTTCTTTGAAATTACCCTGATTGCCTCCTCTTGGCAGTCGGGATTTACCCTCATTTTTCAATCCTAGAAATGTACATACTTATGCAATCCCAGTAAATAGAGAGCATATAGAAGTCCTCGATGAAGAAACCAACCCGAAAGTTCTTGTCAACACCTTTGATGCATTGGAGCGTGAGGCTTTGAATTCAATAGGGAAGTTTAAGTTGGTTGGGGTTGGCCCTCTGATTCCATCAGCCTTTTTGGATGGTAAAGATCCTACTGATACTTCCTTTGGTGGTGATCTTTTTCAAGGCTCAAAGGACTACATAGAATGGCTTAACTCAAAGCCTGAATCCTCTGTGATTTATATATCATTTGGAAGCATATCTGTTCTGTCAAAACCACAAAAGGAACAAATGGCGCGTGCTTTGCTGGATACCGGCCGTCCATTTTTGTGGGTCATAAGAGCAGATGGAGGAGAGGAGAAAGAAGAAGATATGCTGAATTGCAGAGAAGAGCTTGAAAAGCAAGGAAAGATAGTGTCATGGTGCTCTCAAGTGGAGGTTTTGTCACATCCATCAATAGGATGTTTCGTGACACATAGCGGTTGGAACTCAACTTTTGAGAGTTTGGCTTCTGGGGTGCCAGTGGTGGCTTTTCCGCAATGGACTGATCAATTGACTAATGCTAAGATGGTTGAAGATGTATGGAAGACAGGTGTGAGAGTCAATGCTAATCAAGAAGGGATAGTTGAAGGCGAGGAGATAGATAAATGCTTGGCGTTGGTCATGGGAGGTGGAGAACGAGGAAAAGAGCTGAGAAAGAATGCTAAGAAGTGGAAGGATTTGGCAAGAGAGAGTTCAAAAGAAGGTGGCTCTTCTTACAAAAATCTGAAGGCTTTTGTCGATGAGATGGGAGGAGTAGCTCCGTCGTTAGAAGTATGAGTTTTTGATTTTTAGGATTCTATCGATCCAGGCAGGATTAGTAGTACCCTTTGAATATTGTTCTTTCTTTTGTTAGTAAAGTTAAATTCAAATAAATGGTTAAGATTCTTTCATGTTAAATATTTTTTTAGTGTTTAATTAATCAGATCTTTCTGTCTCTCTCCGAGCTGTAAAAACATTTCCAGCTATATTAATTGGCTAAATTTTTGGCCATAAATTTAGAAAATAATCTTCATTATTAAATTAATAATTAAAATTTGACAGATAATTCTTACTTCGCTGGGAGAATGATTTTCATGAGTCGAAGAATTACAAAAATTATACAAAGATACTTTAACTGGTTGTGGGTACAGATCAAGGATCACATGCATGAGAGTTGGTGTTGACAGTTGGAACTAATGCTTTGAACCTTGCCTGATTGGTGGACAATTCAAGAGGACAACACCAAACCACCAAGGCTTAGTAGCTAGCTTTGAGAATAGCCAATAACTTGCCAATATTGAGATTTAGCTCAACAAGAATCAATATTGTTACTCTTTCGAGAAGTTTCGACTTCCAATATCTCCCTCCTCTATGTATGTATATAAAACAGCCAATAACAATTTTTTTCATTAATTGTGGCTTGGATAACATGTATCTGCACGTATATGAGCGTGAAAACATTCTTAACATTCCTTGAATTTGATTATTTGAAGTCAAATTTTCAAAACATATATATATATATATATATATATATATATATGTTCTAGTCTTAAGATAAACGTGCGTGCCACTAAGTTATTGTACATATGTACTAAAGAAGTATACAATATGAATTAAGTTTCTTCCATCAGTTGTTCTCTTACTTTTCTTGAAGAAAATCCTTCAAAATTTCCTTTTTTTTTAGTTTTGATATTGAAAATCCTGATTCCAAAAAGGATGTCCATTGCCTACCCCTGTCCACTCAATTGATTGGACCCAGGTCAAAACTTGACCTTCCTTAAGACGCACAACCACCCCCAGATCAACTGTAATTTAATAGAAAATGAGGCATTTGTACAGTTCATTTTGTGAGTTCCTGGTTTGCTTGATGCTACACAATGCCGATTCTCTTCGCTTACTAGAATTTGATTTCTTCTCCTCCTTAATTTACATATCCTTGCAGAAAATTTAAAGAGCCCATCCCCAAGCATTGATTTGAAGAGGACTAGCGGATCGATACTAATTACTCACTGCAAGAAAACTGCGAATTAGATCGTCACTAATTCTTAGAAAACCGTTATTAAATAAAATTAACAACGGTTTCAAAACCCTTGATAAAATGCTTAATGCTAATTTTTATGATATTTTTTAAATTCGTCACTAATTTAGCTATGGAAAAAAAATTATCGTTAATTTAATTAAAATCATCATAAATTTTCAAGAAAATTGCAACTAAAATGAAAAAATTAGCAATGGTTTTTCAAATTGGTAGCTAACATTGTGTACTTAGTGACGGTTTTAACCGTCGCTAAATTTTTTAATCCAAATTTTAATTGTTTTAAATTAACCTACTCAAGTTTAAAAACTAAAAATATATATTACAAAATTATTATAATATATAAAATTAAATAAAATTAAATATATATTAAAATATTTAATTAGGGATAAAGTTTAAAGTTTGTTATTATTACATGAAAAAAAAAACATAAAAACTACGAATGATCACTAGGGTTGTCAATTGGAGGTCGGGTGGAATCGTCAATCGGAGGCTCGATGCATGAACTGCCTTGTTGTATACTCGGCAACATCTCGCTTCATCATTGCATATTGCTCTCGAGTAAAACCATCTATTAAATATTGTAAGACCAATTAAATTATTAAGCACATAATTAATTAAACTAACTCTTAAAAAATTATTTTAAACACAAATTATTAAATTTAGTTATTAAGTAATTGACTTAATCAACAACTAAATAAGCTTAATTAACAAACAAATAAATTAAAGTAATAATTAATTATATATGTTATACTACATTTATATAAAATAATTATAAACTAATTTTCTCAATTAACAACCTAATATATTGTTTTAAACAATATGTTTTTAATTAACAAATAATAAATTTACTTAATCAAATTTGAATTAACACATCAATTTATATAATTAAACTAATACAAATATAATTAAATGATTTAATTTGCCTCAATTTTATTAATTTTATTAAAAATCACTTAATAAATAATTAATAAATCAATTAATTAACTAACACCACCTATTAAATATTGTAAGACCAATTAAATAATTTAAATACAAACAATATTCACACTTAATTTAATAACCAACTAAATAAAAAATATTAAACACATAATTAATTAAACTTAATCTCAAAATTTTATTTTAAACACAAATTATTAAATTTACTTATTAAGTAATTGACTTGATCAACAACTAAATAAACTTAATTAACAAACAAATAAATTAAAGTAATAATTAATTATATCTATTATATAATATTTAAATACTATAATTGTAAACTAATTTTCTCAACTAACAACCAAATATATTATTTTAAACAATATTTTTTTAATTAACAAATAATAAATTTACTTAATTAAATTTTAATTAACACCTATATATATAATCAAACTAACACAAATATAATTAAATAATTTCATTTCTTTAAATTTAATTAATTTTATTAAAAATCACTTAATAAACAATTAATAAATATATTAATTAAACTAACACCACCTATTAAATATTTTAAGACCAATTAAATTATTTAAATACAAACAATATTCACACTTAATTTAATAACCAACTAAACAAAAATTATTAAAAACGTAATTAATTAAACTTACTCTTAAGAATTTATTTTAAACACAAATTATTAAATTTACTTATTAAGTAATTGATGTAATCAACAACTAAATAAATTTGATTTACAAACAAATAAATTAAAGTTATAATTAATTATATATTTCACACAATATTTATATAATATAATTATAAACTAATTTTCTCAATTAACAACCAAATATATTATTTTCAACAATATATTATTTTTTAATTAGAAATAATAAATTTACTTAATTAAAATTGAATTAACACCTATTTATATAATTAAACTAATACTAACATAATTAAATAATTTAATTTGCCAAAATTTAATTAATTTTATTAAAAATCACTTAATAAACAATTAACAGTTTAATTAATTAAACTAACACCACTTGTTAAATATTCTAAGACCAATTAAATTATTTAAATAAAAACAATATTCACACTTAATTTAATAACCAACTAAATAGAAATTATTAAACGCATAATTAATTAAACTTACACTTAAAATTTTGTTTTAAACACAAATTATTAAATTTACTTATTTAGTAATTGAATAATCAAAACCTAAATAAATTTAATTAACAAACAAATAAATTAAAGTAAAAATTAATTATTATTTTATACCATAATTATATAATATAATTGTAAACTAATTATCTCAATTAACAACCTAATATATTATTTTAAAAAATATTTTACTCTTTTAATTAACAACTAATAAATTAACTTAATTAAAGTTGAATTAACACCTATATATATAATTAAACTAAAACTAATATAATTAAATAATTTTCATTGCCTAAAATTTAATTAATTTTATTAAAAATCACTTAATAAAAATTTAATATTTTATTTAATTAAATTAACACCACCTATTAAATATTTTAAGAGCAATTAAATTATTTAAATAAAAACAATATTCACACTTAATTTAATAACCAAATAAATAGAAATTATTAAACACATAATTAATTAAACTTAGTCTTAAAAATTTATTTTAAGCACAAATTATTAAATTTATTTATTAAGTAATTGATTTAATCAACAACTAAATAAACTTAATTAACAAAAAATAAATTAAAATAATAATTAATTATATATATTATACAATATTTATATAATATAATTGTAAACTAATTTTCTCAATTAACAACCTAATATATTATTTTAAACAATATTTTTTTAATTAAATACATAATAAACTAAATTAATTAAATTTCAATTAACACACACACACACACACTGATATATATATATATAATTACCGTAACATAAATATAATTTAATAATT